TAGCCCCGACCTCGCGCCTTGTGATTTTTATTTATTTCCAAAAATTAAAGAAAAACTTAAAGGAAAGCGGTTTATGAATGCTGAAGAAGCGGTGGCTGCGTATCGCGATGCCATTGAAGAGACCCCTAAGGACGAGTGGGCAAAGTGCTTTTCCCAGTGGTTCCATCGCATGCAGCGGTGTATTGACGCGAATGGACAATATTTTGAAAAGATATAATAAAACTAATAACTGGCTAATGTAATCAGTTTTTGATTTTCTAAGAACTTTCAGTTTGACCCTCGTATATACCTTTATCTATGAATTTATGTCGTAAAAAATTTTGTGAGTTGGTTCCTATTATACATTTTTCAGAATTAAATGTTATGTTATTTTATAAAGCTATCTTTAATACCAAATGCAAAGTTTAATCATGATATTTCTTATTATCTGCCCAGATTATTAAATTGTCAATAAATATTTCTACATTTGGAAGGCCTTTAAATAAACAAGAAAATTGTTTATGGTATACTTCTGAAGCTACTTTTACACCATAAGGCATTCTTAAAAATCGGTATCTTCCGAATGGTGTTTGATAGGTGGTAAGTTTAGAACTACTTTCACTTAATTTAATTTGGTGAAACGCTTTACTACAATCTAACTTACTAAAAACCTTTGCATTAGCCATTTTACCTGATATTTCTTCAAATGTTGGAAGTTTATAATGTTCTCTTAAAAGACAAGAATTGAGATATTGAGGATCTAGAAAAACACGTTATGAATTATCACCAGAGGTCGGAATTAGGTAGAGTTATTATGTACTTGCATCGAAATGTTGATATTAATGTGGACCTTCGTGGCAACATCGCGCGTATTGGTATTTTGCAACTTTGGACATCCGATATCATTGATGTAAGTTTGGCAACGTCATGCGTGCAGTAGTTTAAATTGCGTATAAGTAAATAACTTTTTATTTAAAAAATCACGGAATTGTTTCTGCTCTTTAAAAATAATCTCGGGATTTGAGGCATAACCACTTTATTCTTTCGCTGTATGAAATCAGTGTAAGTACATGAATAACTCTACCTAATTCCGACCACTGATTATCACTCTTTCTTACTATTACTACTGCATTTACAAACTCAGTAGGTTCTTCTATTTTACATATAATCTTGTTTTTTCCATATCTAATAATTCTTTTTTATATGTGTCTAATAATTTTAAGGGCACTGGTCTACATGGTATAACCTTACCAGTATAATTAGGTATCAATTTAAAATCATACACATAATCTTTGATTTCTCCTATTCTAGAAAATAAAATTACCACACTGATAACATGTCTTATTGTATACCGGACAATTGCTTGCTGTATGTTCATAACCACAACTGTTACATTTGAGTTTCTCTGACTTCTTTTTTGAATTATTGTCAATCTTGTCTACCTTTATATCTTGAACATTCAGTTTTGATAAATTTTATTGTGTCATTTCAGCAAGTCTGCATATATTTAAACATTTCTCTAAATTAAACCCTTCTTCTCGTATGAGCCAATTCTTTAACTTTGGACAATTAACACCACATATTATTTTGTCCCGTATTAAGCTATCTTTTAAATCTCCAAAGTTACATTTATTGGCAATTTTTTTTTTATTTCTACCAGGTATTCAACGAAAGTTTCATTTTTTTGGTTTCTTGTAAAAAATATATGTCTAGAAATAGTTTCGTTGGTCTTGGGTACGCAATAAATGGTCAATGCTAATTTAACTTTATCATAATCCTGCTTTACTTCTGCATCCAAATCAAAGGTCTCATATTTATCGAACCCTTTTTCCCCCAACAAACTTAACAAAATTGCCACTTTTGATCGACTTGGTTTTTCTTGGCATTCATTTGCTATTAAATATAATTCCACATGGCAGATCTATGTTTTAAAATTTCGTTCTAGATTACCTTCAAAAGATAGCGGTGGCGGCGGTTGCAATTTGATGTTACTTGAATATTTTATGTTCTGCGGCTGCGCCATGTTAAGTTGTTTCATATGGATTCACTTTTTAGTGTTTTACTACTTTTTAGTACTTTTTTTTTTAGTGTAAAATAAGATGATGTACACATATACCATGCATCCTTACCATAGACTAATTTTATTTTTCTTATTTAATCATAGACTACTATACTCAATATCTTACAATTATGCACAAAACAATGTTCTTGAATTCGGAGTATCTCAGTGGCGTAGTGGATAAGGCGCAGCTCGCGATCGTTGTTGTTAAGCGACTTTCGCAAGAGTGAGTCTCAAAATGAGTGAAAAATTCTTGTTTATATAGCTAATATTCTAAGTTTTTCCCAAAACGTTGAGTTTTGTCAGATAGTTATGAATGGTTAACGGAATAAGGATTTCCAAAAAAAACAATATACTACGTTATAATTTAGAGTTTAGCCATGTGTTATTTAAGTCCCACGTTTGTATGTATGTATTTTTAATTTATTTGTTTTGTTTACATAATTGTCTTTGGGCTTCTTTACAACCAATTAGCACAGTCTTCCAGAGCAAAAAACAGATAAAATTGCCAAAGTTAACTTGCCTCGTTTATGATAACAATATTTTTATGAGAATTAAATAACACGAAGTGGTAATAGTTACCTCTATTATATTCATTAAGAATACATAACTTACTTTTACGAATCAAAAATCACTTTAACTAAAAACTAGATGTGTGTAAATCTTTACTACGATCAGCCCTGCGATTCTGTAAAAATCCAAACTCGAATTCAAATTCACTCATGTGAACGAATTCACTTCAAAAAGCGGCATCCCCTTAACCTTGAATTGGTAATAGCGTTTCATGGCACAAGTGAAGTGAATTTTAAAATGACATAGGAATAGATTATCTGAGACACATAGGTATATCCAATCAATTTTGTTTTGTATTTTTATACAAAAAAAAAGGAATCAATGGAATTTCTACACTCAATAACATGAATTCGTACACATGAGTGAATTCAAAAATCGGGTCTGGATTCTGTTAAAACCGGACTTTGTTTTTGATACGGGCAACCTGGATTTTTTAGCATTTTTCATCACGCATAAATAACTTACTTTTACGAATCAAAATCACTTTAGCTAAAAATAAGACGTCTGTAAATCTTTACTATGATCTGATCAGTGCATCATTCAACTGAACCGACTCACTGAGCTAGCTCACTGAGTCGGCTGACTGTTGACAGCGTTGATTCTTAGGAAAATGAGTATGACGACGACAAGTTTCCTTGATACAAATTTTCTGCAATATTCATACATTTATTGAAATTTTACTTTAAAATTTATTATAATTTTTTCGTGCCCCGTCATATTGAATATAAAAGTGTTGCTTATACCCTAATATAATGGAGGTAACTATTTTACCACTTCGTGCTTTTTAATTCGCGTTAAGATCGGGCAACAACGCGTCGCGTGCCGGTAGCAAATGAGCGCACATCGGCTAGCCAGCGGCTATTATTATGTATATTTACACTTTTACTTTACTAAAAAAAATTGAATCAAGGTTTAGAATGCAAAAACCAATTTTGTCATTAAATTAGTAAATGAGTACATTAAGCATGTGTACGTACAAACTAATACAAACTAATAGAAAATTACGAATTAAGTATAAATGTTGTTTTCGTAACGAAAATTGTAAGTCCTAAATCTAAACAAAGTATAAAGGATAATCGTTCCTATTTTAAGTATACTTTGAAATTTCTTAATATGAAAAATAAAAAGTGTTATTTTATTTTATCTTGATATGAGCATCATTTTATTATATTTTTAAAACAAACATTCCATATCAAAGGTCCATGATAATAAGCATTAGGTTACTTTTTTAAATATTCATTATATACTACTTAATACTTGCTCTCTGCTCTTGTATCTTTCTGAAAATCGATTAACCAAATGATCCAAATGAAGCGTTAATTGATTCGGATCTTTGCACTAATTCAGATGCAAATTATGCAATCTTTATAAAGGTACGTTTTTTCGCAGAACTACTTAAAAATTTTCTTCAACCAAATGTTGTCATTATTGAAAAGGGAAAAGATCAACTCTTTGTAATTTTTTTTTGATTTTTTTGTAAAAATTGACATCAAGAGACTTTAACAGGTTGCTTAAAAATTATTTAAGACGACAACATTTTAAAATATCACCGAAAATCGCACAATCCTAAGGGTAACGCGTTCCTTTTTAAGTATTGTGATATTACTTGATCTAAGGATATTAGTAATGTAGTAAAGACGTGTGGATATTGCTCAAATGAGCATCCTCGTAATGTGACCTCATTTACGTTTATACATATTTTCTATTAATAAATTCTTTAAAATAGGTCGCTATCCGTTTACCCAATATTAAAAATGCGGTTAGGCATAAAATTTGCTTGGGAGGGTAACATGGTTTCACAAATTAATATATCATTACTACCTACATGAATTAAGTACAACATCGTCAGTATCTCATTTGATATTTCATTTGTAGCAACACTCAACGGCCTTGGCATTAAGGTGCGGTGCGCGTGAGTGCCGTGAAGCGCGTCATTCTGTTTGTGTTTTTATTTTGAATGTTGCTAGATTGTGTTAAAATATACATTTTAAAGGATAAATAAGTTGAAATTATAATACTCTAATTTCGGCTTATTAATAATTTCGGCCATTTACATAACACTTACTTAACTCATTCGTTTGTTATAAAGTAATGTTGTTAGGATCCATTTAATAGTGTCTTATCAGCGGAATATTTAAAGTAAAAGCATACGAAATGCTAGTTGATTATCATCATAAATAATATGCGATATTTAAAATCTTTTATTTTATTTCAGATGAAAAAATGTAGGTATATGTGGTATTGTAATCTAAGAGATGTTAAGTATTTTAAAGCGTTTTTTACAGAAAAATAAATAATTTGTTGATTTTTTTCTGGCTGCAGATGGTAACACTGAATAATTGTGATAGTGAGAATGACTGTAATGATAACAAATATTACAGATTAATTTAGTGCTCTGAACTTACTGTGTAGGGCAGACGTTAAATTAATGCCTATAAATAAGTAAATTTATGAGTTAACGAAAACAATATAAGGTAAGTTAAACAATTAAGTGTAAGCTTTTTAGTTAATTAGGGCTCATGTTGTTGCCAAAAATTTAAATAAAGAAATATTTATCTTTTCCCGGTGGTTGCATAGATAAGACGATTGTTGCTGTTAATATTTCTTATCAAATTCTAGATATTTAGGTAACTTACTTAGTCTTAATTGTATTCTTTATTTTTCCATGTCATGTTAATTAATTTTTATCAGAGGTTTTATTGTTTTTATGACCTTGGCAGGCCCGGATCTAGGACCTTCCTGACACTGTTAGGTAGTCAGGCGCCAAAATCATTATTATGTAATATCTACTTACAGAAAAATCGTTTTCTCATACAGTGCAAAAATATCATAATATCAGATCTATCTTCTCTGAGTGCGGGGGGAGGTGGGTAGGGAGGGGGTAGAGGAAGAGCGCCAAACGAAATTTCTGATTTAAAAAAATCGTAGATCCAGGCCTGGACCTTGGCTGAGCGTTCAGAGAAATTAATCTTAAAAACTGCAGTGACAGTTCGATTCCCGTTTGGTGTCAACGTTTCTTTACATAGTGTTAGATAATAGATTCGATACCTAGTGTATGTTATTGAAGTTATGTTAGAAGTGAATGTTATTGTTTATTTAGAAACCGAAGTTTATAATTTACTATCTATTGAGTCTTTCCTCTAATGAAAACGAAAGCAATTTTTCGGAATACGTACCACATACCTACACTTAGTTTTCCAATTCAACATCTGATAATATTTAATAAAATAATACCTTATACACTTTACACGACACAGAAAAATATCAATAAATAATGCTATTTCTCAGTTAGTAAAAATATACTTAATTTATAAACATGTCTTGTGTCGTGTTCCTTGATAGTTAACCAAATGACTGGGCTTTGTAGAGCCCCTGAATGTTGTGTTCGCAGTTATTCAGCTGGTCGACGCTTAGAATAGCTAGCCGCCCTATTGGAATTCCTGTTTTAAACGAATTGACTTCGACATAGTTAACCGATTATCTTAATTAAACTGTTACTGTCGAAATTACGTTTATGAAAGTTTGTAAACTTCCTGTCATTTCAATGATATGATCCCATCTACTATTTTTAAACATCATTTACCAAGGTAATTATAGTGTTCAAATCTACAGAATTTAAGTACTGTACCAATCACTGTTAATGAACAGAATGGATTACTACCACTGTGAGGATTAAGTTATTAGATTAATATAATTAAATACGAGAATCAATCAAGCTTATCGGGACTTGGTTGTGATACCACGATCATTTAATAAATTATAACATGTGTACATACGTAATATTCATGTAATACATAACATTAATAAATCAATCGTTGCTCATTTGATTTATAATTTTACATTAAGAAAAATGTACCTATCTAGGTTTTATTATCGCCCCCTATGGGTTCGTGAATTGCATTTTAAGAATCCCAGAGTAAGATGATAACATAGAATAAATAATTACCGATATAATTACCATACGGCTTAATGACTTAGAATACGCTTAAAAGAATTAATTGGAATTGTACAAGTAAAGTGAAAAATGCCTTAAAACCGGAGTATACCCGGTTGGAAAAAGCTGTCAATCTGGGCCATTTGCCGCCTCGGGCCTTCGATAAGGTTAGTCCGCCACTGACATAAGTATTCCATATAACGATATACCTTTGAAAGGGATAGTGATGATTTAAAGTTCTTTATATGATGCGCATATGTGAATTCATTATCAAACACAAAATTACTCACATATCTGCCCCGACAACCTCCGTGACTGAGAGTTACGCACGTCGGTTTCGTAGAAAATGAACTGTTCTTTATTGTTTCCGCTTTGGATCTATGATCTGATATAACAGATTCGAGGCCTAATCATCTAATTATTTATTACAGTGTATTAAGTTTCAACACTACGTCATCAGTTCAAATAAATTGTTACGGTAACAATAGAACGATAGATGTTCTGAATAACTGAAACAATGCACGTTTATCTATATTTAAAAATAAATCGCTCACTTATTATGTGACTGATATAGAACATTAGAACTAGTATTAGGGGTTTATAAAAGTATGAAATTGCCGTTTTATTGTACTCGTAATAGGTTCTTTGAATTGACATAGAATCTTCACGGTTTGAGGTTTTCGAAAGTAACTTTTTTCACATGGTTTCTATGATGTTCTTCTTTTAAAAAGTTTGAATCATTTGAATATCGTCTTTCAATTGTTTTTGTTATTCAACTTTGACAAGAAAGATGGATACTGCGAAAATTCGAGTGAGTTTTGAATAAGAGTTCCGACGCGGAAATAACGTGGCAGAAACAGCCCGCAATATCAATGTTGCGTTTGGAGAGGGTTCTGCTAATTAACGCACCGTGCGATTTTGGTTTAAACGCTTTCACGATGGAAACTTCGACTTGAAGAACGAGCCACGAGGAAGACCGCCCACACAGGTGAATACAATGAATTAAGAGATATGGTGGATCTCTTAATTCATTGTATTCTAGTCAAACTACCCATGAATTAGCGGCATGGTTTAACGTTACCTTACCCACAATATTGACTCATTTGCGTCAAATAAATAAAATAAAAGAATACGTAATATGGGTCCCTCATGATTTGACTGATCTGCGGAAAGAAACGCGTGTTGCAACTTGTGTTGCCCTGTCGAATCGGTACAGAAATGAAGGAATATTGGATCGAATTGTGACATGTGATGAAAATTGGATTCTTTATGATAACCGTAAAAGAAAAATGCAATGGCTGACCCCAGGTCAAACGCCACAACAGTGTCCTAAAGCAAAACTTATCAATAAAAAGGTAATGGTAACTGTTTGGTGGTCTCAGCATGGTGTTATTCACTATAGTTTTCTCCGATCTGGTCAAGCAATAACGGCAGATGTCTATTGTGCCGAACTCCGAACAATGTTGGCAAAACTAGCAGTAAAACCAGCCCCGACTCATGAATCGATCTTCACCATTATTGCTCCATGACAACGCGAGACCTCATACAGCACGAGAAACCGTTTTGACCCTTCAGGAACTGCAGTTAGAAACCATTCGTCATCCTCCGTATTCGCCAGACCTTGCTCCAACGGACTACCATTTTTTTCGTGATTTGGACAATTATCTACGTGACAAGAAGTTTTCTTCCCAGGAGGCAGTACAAAATGCTTTCACACAGTTTGTGCAGTCTAGTGACTAAAATTTGGTATATAATTTATTTGTTAACGTCATAACGTCAGTGCTAGTATTTCCTGAGATTCGGCTTGTAGCCATTTTCTCTAATTTCTAAATTGAGTGATCCACATATTGGGCAATATCTTCGATCGCTTAAGAGTGACAAATTTTTTGATTTCGGTTATGAGTTTTGACAAATTTTGACTAAATGTACCTACGTTTTGGTTTTGTTGAAAATTGCAAAAGGATCACTCAGTCCAGATGCACATTTAATTTTACTGTTAATAGTACATCTGTAAAATTGGTACCATGTCCGATAAATATAGGTTTAACTTTTTATATAAATCAACTTACTTGACATAACAAACTTAATGCAGGGACATTCTGAAGTCTATCGCAATCCTTTTCAATCTGACATTTGAAAGATATTCATGAACTTCATACTACCTACAATGATTTACCATGTGATAGCTATTGCGACACTACTAACAAATGCGACATTTTGTGAAAAATATTTATTGAACGATATCGTTCATTTGATGTTAAATTATCTGCGGTAGAAGCAAATATATTATTAATTTTAGTAACTAGTTTTTATTGTTTCTTGATTATTAAAACCATCATTCGTTCTGAAGGCAATTATGACTTTAAACCTTACCTAATTCCATACATCTCTATACCGCTATACCTTTGAAAATTATTGTAATAGATTTTGAAATTATTTAATATATTTTGTTCATAATAAAAAAAATGCTTAAAAATCCACCATTCCTTTCACGACCACGACCTTTCGCAGTACGAGTGACTGCTTTTACCATTGTGCTACCCAGGTCGTAAGTTCGAGTCCCATCTCAGAGTACCTAAAGCTGGTGGATTTTTTCATTTTGAATATTATCCAGTATAGCATTGTGACTGCAAAATATTGTTTCCATTGCAGCAAGCGAGCAGTACTATGTCGAAGCGTACAGTGGTGAACAGCTCGTACAAGGGCCTGGTGGAGAACATCGCCATACCGGTGGAGTTGCACGAGGCAGGCGACAAAAAGTTCGCTAGTTTCGGGTCCGTGCTGCCCATACACTGCAGTACACCAGAACAGGTGATACTTAATCGACTAATTATTAGTATTTTACGCTAAGCATAATAATATGTGATTCATTATAATTAGGCCTAATTTTTTTACGTTCTTCGAATGTGAGCGCATTAGGACAATAGCATCGAAATCGGTACAACGTCTCTCGAAATAACTAACAAGACTTACAAATCTCTATACAAATTATTAAAACTTAAACTCATCTCTTTACAGTCAACAGGATATTGAGTCTCGCGAGTTGATTCTTGCTATCCAATGCGTTAAACTTTTTATCAACACTAACATGAGCCTTGTTGGTGGTGGACTGTATTTCCACAGGGATGTGGTTAAAACGATAATGGTACAGAGCGGGGTCTTTGAAATTAAACATTTCTTCAATCGGAGAACTGTGACAACCGTGTGTGTGTTTATTGCACATAAATTCATTTCTTATTTACAATTTGCATTACACTTAGATCCTACACTAAACAGATAGTCTAATAATATTTATTGGAGTGGGGGTACGCTACCCCGCACCGCGCGGGAGGGAAAGGTTGCTTCGTTCTTCCGTTGGCGGCGCTGTCGTCGCGGCGTGGCTCGGTGTCCTCTACAAGCCTATAATATCGAGATAAATTCTTTACTGCTAGGAATGCAGTGCCGGAATCCATACTACGATCTTAAGCGTTCGATTATCGTCAACCGTTTGGTCTTGATTGTATCAAAGGCGCTGCTAATTTTTATTTTGTATCCATTATATCTTTATCTATGCTCATCTTATAAAATATACTTGTTGACTAAAATAACGTGATAGACATTTCATTGAGATATTTTTTTTACAATTTCGCTTATAATATCTACTTATTTAAAGAACACCCATTGAACAAAGCTTTTTTAACTTTGAAACCTCAAATATATTATTGGTCGAATTGTCTAATTTTAAAATGTATTGCAATCACTTTTAAAAGCAATTGTGATAATGATTACGTTTAAAGTCGATATCGATTCGAATTATGATTTCAATGATCAATAAACAATAAAAACTTGGTTATACTAGGCATTCGCTATCACATGTCGAATAGTTGTTGAGTGAAGTTCGTGACTATGTTTCAAATTGAAATGGAATGCGATATATTTTAAAATTAGACGATTAAGCCCCGGAGCACATATTCTCTGTTTCTATTTTTTTTTTTTAAATATACATGTATCAGGTATTATAAATATACCTATATTGCTCAGGAAGGTCCACATATTAAGAACTAAAGCACTCGAAATAATATAGAAATAATCATGGGTAAAGACGGACCTATTCTTAGCTGTCTCAGGTGCACCGCGGCGCCCCCTGACAGTGCGGCGCTCGTGTGCATTGCACACACTGACCTATAGGTTAAGCCGCCTCTGCGGCTAATAAAACAACGTTATTAACATTCTAATCATATTCAGTAATTATGTATTGAAACTTATTTTGTACGTCGTCACAGGTGACGGAATTCTCGCAGCATACACATCACTACTGCGATGTGTTCACTGACGAACTGTTGGCTCCGCTCGGTGAACTAGCGTACGTGCGGCTCGACGAGAACTTAGCTGAAAAGGTACCTAACCTAAATCTATATATCTATAATATATAAAGCTTAATTACCACTCACTGACTCACTGACTCACTCCATGCTTTTTTCGGGTAGAAGGAGTTGGTAAATGACGTTTTCATGTATGGAGAGTGACAATATTTTTTTTTTATGAGTTGAAATGGCGTATCGGTACAGCCAAAAAACAAAATGGCGGCGAGATAATTTTTTTAGTTTCTACATTATTCACTCTACGATTACGATATTCAAAACGGTCGTAGAGTGGGCTAAAAAAATGGCAATGAAAAAAGGTTTGATTAAAAAAACAAAATGGCGGCCGAGATATTTCACCTGGAAAATTGTCATTTTTCGACCTCTGTTCGGGCGATCGTCAATTGTTTTGTGGTGGGTTTGGAGGGGGGATCTTTTCGCAGGCGACTCGGATATATAGTCGATTTTAACGTAGGGGAAGCTTTTATTCGCGCGTCAACATGGCGGCGACGGTGGCGGCCATTTTGTTTTGGCAATGAAAAATCGCCATTTTCCAGTGAGATTTTCTCCAAGATGGCGGCGTCGGACGGGTTCGCGTCGTATGGGGTGGTCGTGGGGCTCTCTGTTAGCTTTTTAAGTTGGTAATAATTTCTACCATTTTCGTGGTAGTTTAGGAGATTTTGGGAGAAAAGTGAAATTTCGAAATACGCACTTTTCGCGGAAAACAGACTCGATGCGGTATGGCGCCGGGGGAGCCCTATGACTTTTGGTAGTTTTCGTTTTTGCTAGCTGACAACCCTGGGCTCCACGGTAGAAAACATGTTTTTCGACATGCCCTCATAACCCGAATTGTTTGGGAACCTGGGTGGCCAGCGGAGAAAATCTGTGAATGAGGTCCCTTGCCTGATATAGTCGTGACTATGGGAAAATTATGAAACTCGGCAAAATCAATATGGCGGCGCCGGCAGCGGCCATTTTGTGATTTTTTCACTTTTTCGAAAAATTCAAACGCACTTTTAGCACACATGGCAACATTGTAGCTCTTCGCCTGGTATGGATTGGTCGTGAGTCTCCGCTGGCTCTTTCGAATGACGTGAAAATTTTCCCCGATTTTAGGGTAATTTCGGAGATTTACCCCAAAATGGTGAAAAGTAGAAGGAGCCGTTTGGGAATTTCAAAAATGCTTTTCCTCGATGGAGGGCACTCCCGGAAATAACATTTGACCATTTTCATCGTCATCACCTGGCAACCCTGGTGGTTGCGGCGATTTGAAAAATTTTGCCCATTTTTTACTTTGTCGACTCTAGCGCAGTCGGTATTGCCACTAGGAAAATGGTTAAAACTGCATCGGATGCGCTATCGAGTTGGCCACACCGGTACGGAGCCGGATTTTCAAAATTAAAGATGGCGGCCAAACCAGCGGCCATTTTATCCGAAAAATTGGGTATCGTCACCACGTCGAGCCGATTTTGACGCACTTGGCGACATTTGTCAGACAACTTCCGGGGAAACATTTTTTAGGCAAGTAAATAAAGTGTTGCCAGGTGAAAAAAAATCTCAAAAATTTTTGATACTTTATGAGATTTTTGAGGAAACAATTTTTATCGAATTTTTGAACTTTTTTGATGCAAATATTTTAATTTTAACTTTTTAAGATACCCGATGGAAAAAATAGAACGTTCTACTGGCAACACTGAGAGCAAACAACGTTTGAAATTCAACCTTGATTTTGACCGACTTGGCAACCCCGCAGGTGTTTGGCATGTATGGAGAGATTGTGTATCTTTATAGACTCTTTCATATGTTGGAAAAAAATTACCCGATTTTAGGGTAGTTTTTGAGATTTACCCCAAAAACTGTAACTGTCAAAGGAACAATTTTAGAACTTGAAAATTAGTATCCGTCGATAGAGGGCGCATCCCGAAATCACATTTGACTATTTTCATCGCCTACACCTGGCAACCCCGGCAGCTACAGCGGGTTGAAGATTTAATGCCCACTATTCACGTTTTGGACTCTAGCGCAGTCATTATAGCCGCTAGGAAAATAATTAAAACTGCGTAGGATGCGCCAATAGATGGGCTACATATTTCTGAGGTAGAAATTTCAAAATTCAAGATGGCGGCTTAAACAGCGATCGTTTTATCTAGAAAATAGATCATTTTTCACGACTTTCACTTTATAGAGCTGATTTTAGCGTTTTTGGTAACATTTTTCCGAATACTTTTAACAAAAAATATGTATTCAGCTGAAGTGTTGCCAGATAAAAAAAAAATCTGAACATTTTATTGATACCGGGATTTTTAAGAAATTTTCATGTATGTCATCCTTAAAGAAAGTTTTCATGCAAAAAGTTCACTATTGCATTTGTAAAATAATTGATGGAATAATTTGAGTGATCGACTAGCAGCACTGATAGTAGTCACCATATAAATTTCAGAATGATTCTGACCGAGCTGGCGACTCGGGAGCTTTAAAGCATATATAAACCGTTTGTGTATCGTTACCCAATCTTTACGTGGTGAGATAAAAATTCCAATATTTTCGCCAGAAAAATAAAGCGAACGAGACATTGTAATTCGGTTAGATTAGAACTGTGACTAAAACAAAAAGCGAGCGAAGCGAGCCATAAAGAGTGACCATTTAGAGTGATTTGATTAATTGGTAAGGTTAGAACTGTGACTTAAATAAAATGCGAGCGAAGCGAGCCATAAACAACACCAACAATAGAAATCTGATCAATCAGTAAGATTAGAACTTTGAATAAAACAAAAAGCGAGCGAAGCGAGCTATAATAAACGGAGACCTGGTCAATCGTTTAAGGGACTGTGACCAAAATAAAGAGCGAGCGAAGCGAGCCAAAATGCGAGGTTATAGCTACGATAACGGCTACGTCCATGAGTTAGACGGTCGCGCCCCAGATCAATCGGTCATGTTAGCACTGTGACTAAAATGAAAAGCGAGCGAAGCGAGCCATAAAGAGTAACCATTAAAAGAGATTTGGTTAATTAGTAAGGTTAGAACTGTGACTAAAATAAAATGCGAGCGAAGCGAGCCATAAAGAACACCATCAATAGAGGTCTGGTCAATCAGTTAGATTAGAACTTTAAATAAAAAAAAAAGCGAGCGAAGCGAGCCATAATAAATGGAGACCTGTTCAATTGCTTAAGGTACTGTGCCCAAAATAAAGAGCGAGCGAAGCGAACCATAATGCTAGACCATTAACAAAGACCTGATCAATCGATTATGTTAGCACTGTGTCTAAAACAAAAAGCCAGCGAAGCGAGCCATAAGGAATAACTGTTAAGAGAGATTTGGTTAATTGGTAGGGTTAGAACTGTGTCTAAAATAAAGGACACCATCAATAAAGTCCTGGTAAATCGGGTAGATTAGAATTGTCAATAAAACAAAGCGAGCGAAGCGAGCCTTAATAAAGGGAGACCTGGTCAATCGGTTAAGGAACTGTGACGAAATGGGCTTCTAAGTGTGCTATTTAGGTCTGAGGCTGAAATTTCAAAATTTTATCTAGAAAACTTATCATTTTTCACGGTTTTTACTTTATAGAGCTGATTTTGGCGTTATTGATAACATTTTTCAGATTACTTACAAAAAATAAATGTATTCAGTTAAAGTGTTGCCGCATGATAAAAAACAGTTTTTTTTTTCATTCTGTGATTTTTAGGAAATTTTCCTATTGAATAAGAATAAAAGACTACAAGGCGATCTATACAACATTTATTTTAAGTTTTTCTTGCGTTTTTCAACTGAATATTTCTTTCTATATTGCGTGTAAACTGGCAACCCTTTTTTATGTATGATGTTTTGCGTACTTAAAGATCTTTTATTTGAAGATAGAACTTACTACCTTTTTCTAGGCGATTTTATACTGTAAACCCAACATAACAAGAGGCGGACTTAAAGTTCCAATATCTGTATTAACTAAATGTTAACTTACTTTTGAATAAGAATAAGAGAATAAATGACTGCATGCCGATTTATTCCAAATTTTATTTTAGTTTTGCTTGTGTTTTTCAACTGAATATTTCTTTTTCTATTTAGTGTAAACCGGCAACCCTTTTTCTTTGACGTATGGTGCTTTGTGTTCTCAAACACAATTCATTTGAAGATAGAACTCACTAACTTTTTCTAGGCAATTTCAAACTGTAAACATAACAAGAGGCGGACTTAAAACCCCGCCGCTCCGATTCCACAAGCGACTCGTTTATGCTCAAGAACTTTGTAATAAGTAATGCAACAAAAACTTGTATAAGTTTATTATAACATATGGGTTAGGTTAGGTTAGTGTATGACAAAAAAACGCACGAGCCGAGCGAGCGTAGCGAGCGTGCCGCGGCAGCGGCCGGCGAAGTGCCAGAAACGAATCGCTTTTGTAGATAGTAATATTTGGTATATAATGTTTAAAAGATGATCGTGTAAGGCTGACTATGAGCAATCCAGCCCGCGCAGTTACCATTTTAATTTCAGATTTGATTTTGATTCATTTGACAATTCGGGATCTTTATCATTTGTTTCCAAACTTTTCCAAATTTTGACACGATAATTATTACTTAAAGTACAGTTTTCTATACTTTTAGATTAATGAAAAATTATGTTCTTTTTTTTATTCAAACTTATTTGATATTGTTACTTAATTTCTGTGAAATAGTTTTTATAAACGCACACATCGTTTTTCAAAGTTTAAATTTACAGAGTATTTTTTCCAAGTTTTAAAATACATATGCAAAAAATAAATAATTATTAATAATAGTAACACTTGCGGAAATATGTTCGATTGTTATTGTTAATACTAAATATTAATTTACCATTGAATAAGAATAAGAAAGAATAATATTTCATTTTCTATTGAGTGTACATGGGCAACTGTTTTTCTATTGAGTGTATGGTGCTTTGTGTACTTAAACAACTTTCATTTGAAGATAGAACTTTGTTTTTTTACTAGGCAATTTTTTGTACTGTAAACCCAACATAACAAGAGGCGGACTTAAAACCCCAATATCTGTATTAACTAAATATTC